GATCCAGTGTAAGCCCTCAATGGAGACACTGGAGTCACTCAGTATGATCCAGTGTAAGCCCTCAATGGAGACACTGGAGTCACTAGAGCAACTTGATGTATTCATATTCCTTGCCCTCCGAGAGTCCTGGTCAATTATGGGGCTCTGTCGAGGTGTCTGCTGTTCCGTTTTGCCACTTGGGAGCAACTCGCACCGCTTTTAAAACCATCTGAGGATCAAGCTCGAACGCAAAACTGAGACGGCCCATGGCATGGGCGTGTGGGCTCCAGAAACCCTTCAGAGCTTCCAGGGTAGCTCCAAAACACCGCGCCGCCGTGTGCCCCACAGAACCCTTCACCTGTCCCTGACCTATCCAGGCCAGTCATCTCTCTTCAGCTCTCCCCCCAACCATCCCACCATGCTGCTCCCCTTTGCTCACCGCGTTGCGAAGTCTTGGAACATCTGCGGACTCGGCCACGGCTCTTCGACCACTGACGTGCTGAAGTTCACGGTGCGAACCTGGCTTTTCTCGGCTCCGTGTGAATTTCCGGGCCACATCGGATGAAGGGAACTCCAGCATACTGGGTAGAAGGTGAACCAAACAAAGGACCAATTAGGGCAAGGAACCTGGTGTCCAATTTTCAGAAAGTAAGACCTCCACGTGTTTGTTCCACACTACTGGGCATCTCGACGCGCCAAAGAGCACCATGAGATCCAGGTGCAAAACACCATCAGATCCAATCACACCACAGCGAACACAAATCTTTCAGCTTTGTAAAGCCTTTCACTTCAACATCCTTCCACTGCTCCGAAACCCTTCCACCAAACCAACGGCTCCGAAACCCTTCCCATCTCACCTTCCAGTCGAGCTTTGGGCTGTAGAAGTGTTGCACCGCCCAACTCATCAGTTCTTCGGTCCTCTCCTGGGCTCTGTCTTCGCTCAACAGCTCCGCCCCGCAGAGGCGGAACGTTTTCTTGTCCACCGCGCAGGCATGGTACAGACCTGAGCGCAGCGTCGGCGAAAGACGCCGCGTCTCCGCACGCGTCTGACGTCCGACCCTGCTGGGAACATGGTGCAATCTCCGGAACTGACCCTGCCAAGTGGTCCAGCTGTAGCCCCCACAGACACAAGCTTGGTTCCATTTTGGCTCAACCGATTAGCTGGCTGGAAACCGTGCAACTACATGAATGCAGGGAGTGCGGCAGCTTGCTGAACAAGTCAGCACCATTCAGATTTCTATGGATGCACATGATCAAACGGTTCTAGGAATTAAGCAGTAAGTCACTGTTTTATTGTCGGCCTCACTCATACTCATTTGTTATCATGCATGAGTAGGTGTGCACTATACCTACCATCTCATATTCATGCCAGAATGCCAGGTTACCAATCCTCTTAAAGCCCCTACCAGCGAAGAGGCTGGAAAGGAGCAAAGACTTCTGGATCTGACCGCAAACGAGGCTACCCTGGCAACCCTACTACCAGCGTGGAAGGGTCAGTGCAAGCGCCGTTTTTGTGGTGCACAAGTTTAAAAGCCTTGCCAAGTGGTTTTCCAGCTACAGTATTTCTTGAGCTGCGTGCAACGCACCATTCCAAAACCTAGGCCATCAATGGGGTCATGTCCGAACGTTCACCGCCTGAATGCGAGCCACCTTCTTTGGTCCGCGCGTAGGTCTTTTCGCACTGGCCCACTGCGAAGTCCTGATGCGAATCTACCACTGCGGTCAGTTTGGTGCCAGAAAGTCGGAAGATCTGATCCGTTGTTGATACAACTCTGTCTGAAGATCTCTCAAGTGCCCGTGGGGTTGGCACAGGAGCCTCATGCGCAGCACTCAGAACACTAGTGATTGGCTAGAATGATGGCACGGTCCACCAGCTGTTCAGGTAGGACGGCTGATTCGATTATTCCGAACGAGGAAAGAACAGGAAAGAACACGATGTGGAAACAATGTTTGACCAATGACCAAACCTGCCACCCACTTGCTGCTTCAAAGCCTAAACCTCACATGGCCACTCCACATCAAAGCATGCAGTTTCTGATGTAAGACTGTTCAAGATCGCCTGGCTGGGCTCCCAGGCCCTGGACCGCCCCTTCGGCACCCGGACCGCCCCTCTCCTCACAGAAGGCGTGGCCCAAGGGTACTCGATC